GAAGGGCCCAGTGCTAAGGATGGACGCTTCTGCTTATCTCTGGGTAGAGCCAACCTAAGGTTGCTGGTGGGACTGTTGTCTGGCCATAACACGTTAAGGCGTCACCTGCACGTGATGGGGGCGACTGAGGATCCCTTGTGCGAACGCTGCGGAGTAGAGGAAGAGACCTCGGCGCACGTTTTGTGTCGCTGTGAAGCTCTGAGCTACTATAGGCAGACTATACTGGGGTCCATTACTTTGGACCCTCAGGACGTCAAGTAGCTTGGACTCAAGGCGATTCTCAACTTCGCTAAAAGGGCGAGGCTTGTGATTTAAGGATTGTAGAGGTGCATAAGGGCCCGCTTAAGCGGCCTATGCACTGGCTCCTTTTGGTGGCCGGGATGCCTCTAATTTTAAGATTCATTCATTCATGCTCCGGCCACGGAACGTAATTGATCCGGAGTATGAATGACACATTGTAGCACTGATTTTTGTGAAAAAAGTGGTGTTGACTTGAAGACAAATGAGAAAATTAAAATTTTGAACTTTGCATGTGCGTTTCGTACAGGTAAACTCCGCTCCCCTAGTAGACTTACTATGCCCTGCCATGGAATGTCATTGATCCGGGATATAAAGGACATATATACAGGGTGTTTCAGTTTATTGTTGCATAACTTTAAGATTCGATAGAACTTTTAAAATTAATGCATAAAGTCTATATAAACATGGGTCGAAAAATGCGTGGCTCCCGAAATACAGGGTGTTTAAATTTACTTTCTAAAATAGTTTTTTTTTAATATTTCGAACAATATTTGATGTATAACTGAAAATTGGTATACAAGGGTTTTTTGGTACGACAAAACGAAACATGGGCATAGTTTTACTGTAGCCGCTAGAGGGCGCTCTCTACTGTACCTGTAGTGTATTAAAATGACCGAAAAATTTTTCTTAGTGCAATTTTTTGCTTTTTGAATAAAAAAACTGATTCTTCGCACTTTTCAAAATGAAAAAGCTCTGTTGTGAATTTTCGTTATAGTTAGCCGTTTTTGAGAAATTTCGAATTTTAAGGTTCGATGCATTTTTAATTATTTATGAAAAAATAACGTTAAAAAGTGAGAATCTCGATAATTTTTAGAAGTAGGCTGTGCCTGCAAATATTTATGAAATTGAAAGCAGAATAAGGTTAAACGTCAACTAGTTGAAAGTTAGTTTTGTTGTCTGTTGAAACCTGAAACGTTTTTTTGCAATTGTAAATGCACGAAATTTAGTTTCTTTTACCTGTTTTTTTTGTAAGTTTTATAAAAATGCCATTTTTATTCTCCAATCAAGAGTTAGCGGATATTCATTTTGTGTATCGCTTGTAAATGGAAACGCAGCAGAAGCAGCTAGAGAATACGTACGAGGATTTCCAAACAGACGACATCCAACTCGCTCAGTATTTGTAAGAGTGCATCGCCAAATAATTGAAAATGGTTTCGGAAATCTCCAAAGGGATCAAAACATAAATGTTCGTCAGCGCAGATTTACCCGTATGATTCTGCGTGAGTTTGATAGAAATCCGACCACAAGTGTTAGGAGAGTTTCTGGTGCCTTGGGAATTTCAGCAAGCCATGTTCACCGTGTTCTTAGAAATGACCATAGACGTCCTTAGCATTTGCAACCTGTGCAAGGACTACAGCCAGGGGACGGAGAACGAAGAACCACATTTTGTCAATGGATTCTTGATAGAACTGATAATAATAGGGAGTTTTTAAGTAACGTTTTATGGAACAATGAGTCATGCTTCACTAGACGTGGAGTGGTAAATTTTCATAATCAACATATTTGGTCCCATGAAAATGCGCATGCAGTTCAGGAAAGAAATTTTCAGCATGAATTTAGTGTGAACGTGTGGATAGGAATCTACCATAATCGACTATTTGGCACCTACCTTTTGCCTGCAAGGTTAAATGCTGCGACCTTCTTGGTATTTTTAAAGGCTGAACATGCAAATATGTGGGATGATGTTATGTTAGATTTAAGAAGATTGGCCTGGTTCCAGCTTGATGGTTGTCCAGCTCATTATTCGAGAATAGTTAGAAACTGGCTGGACGAAAATTATCCAGAAAGATGGATCGGCCGTGGAGGACCAGTCGCCTGGCCTCCACGATCCCCTGACCTAAATCCATTAGATTTCTTTGTGTGGGGATTTCTAAAAGAAAAAGTGTACCAGACCCCCGTAACCACAAGAGATATGCTAATAGACAGAATCAGGAATGCATGTGATGAAATAGGGCCTTATTTCAATAATGCTATACCACGTTCGATCATTCGTAGATGTGAATTGTGTATTGAACAATTGGGTTTACATTTCGAGCAACTGCTTTAGATTTTGTATGTTCGTCCTAACTATCCAATAGCAATTTAGTTGTAAATAATTAATTTAATTTGTTAAAAATAATATTGGAAAATTAAACAAATTGTTATTCTGTTTTTTTGTGTTTATTTGGAGTAAGGAATTATTGCTGTGTTTAAAAACACAATCTAAACGATCATCTTAATTACTTGTAATGCCCAAATCGAAAATGTAAAAAAAAATTTATTTTCTCATAAATAAATAAAAATGCATCGAACCTTAAACATCGAAATATCTCAGAAACGGCTAAGTATAACGAAAACTCACAGGAGAGCTTTTTTATGCAGAAAAGTGCGAAGAATCAGTTTTTTTATTCAAAAAGCAAAAAATTGCACTAAGAAAAATTTTTCGCTCATTTTAATACACTACAGGTACAGTAGAGAGCGCCCTCTAGCGGCTACAGTAAAACTATGCCCATGGTTCGTTTTGTCGTACCGAAAAACCCTTGTATACCAATTTTCACTGTTAAATATCAAATATTTTTCGAAATATTTAAAAAAAAAAGCTATTTTAGAAAGTAAATTTAAACACCCTGTATTTCGGAAGCCACGCATTTTTCGACCCATGTTTATATATTCTTTATGCATTAATTTTAAAAGTTCTATCGAATCTTAAAGTTATGCAACAATAAACACACCCTGTATATATATATATATATATATTGATATATATATATATATATATATATATATAACAAGTAGGAAAATAATGGGCAAAATCCGCAAAAAGGAGGAAAGTGGATTCGAGCAGAAAATAGGACAGGTAACCCGGGCGATACGTATTTCTGCTGGTTGGCTTCATCAGGCCCGAAATGAATGCACATATGAAACTACAAAAGTAGATACACATGCCCACACATCCGGATACGGGTGTAAACTGAGGAAACGGAGTTGGAGGGGGAAAAAACGACACACGAAGTCCACATCAAGAGCCAACCTACACATTGTAGTATAAAATGGCTATACGACCTAGAATTTTCAAGGAGACGTCTAACCACAACCAAGCGGCCGGTTATAGCCACTTGCTGTGGTAATTCAAGCCCAAAGGATCTATATGTGCATGATCATATTCTCTTTGTATATATATATATATACAGGGTGACTTCGAAGTTGAGTCATTTATTTTAACAGTGAGTAGATCTGATCAAAAGAAATGTTTTTTTCCTTTACCATTTTTCTGGTAAAATTAAAGTAACAAAGTTATAGCCCTTTGGAAGTTTGAGTACCGCCCTGTCTCAATAACATCATGTGCTCGTGTTTGGCAACAACGGATATAATCCACCTTATCGGTTCATCGCATCGGAAACAAAAAAGCGAAAGAATTTGGAACGATGTTTATTTTATTCAGTTCAGTTATACATACAGTTAGTGTCAGTCGCGTGTGAATAGTGTCTGTTGCGTGGCTCAAACGAAATAAAAAATGGCACATGTTTATGCGGATCGGTTTCCCAATCGAGTGCAACCAACCCCTCGTGCCTTTGTTAATGTAGTACAACGGGCTCGTGAATCAGGTGACTTCAGACCTCACAGGGGACCTCACGATCAAATACAGGTCCGCACTGAAATACTTGTCGGGAGGATACTTTATAAAACAAGGTAAAAATTTTTTTTTATTTTTACACACATATTTTGGTTTATCTTCCTTCTACAATCATTATCTGAAAATTAATGACTCAACTTCAAAGTCACCCTGTATATATAAATAAGATTAAATCCCCGAGATATTAGTCGGAACTTGTTCTGCTTGACCACCACACAAAGAAAAAAAATCTATTAGTAATGATAAAACCTAATTAACTGTATACAGAGGGCCAAATAAAACAAGATATCTAAAAAAAGAAGCACAATATATTGCCAAAACAAGCAGCACAAACGCTTCACCACTGGAATGCAAGTTAAAAGGAAAGATGTTATTAAAAACTACCTGACAATTAAATCAATAACCGTAATAACTAATCCTGCAAAATGTTCACAATGGTACACGTACGAAGACCTTACAAATATAGGTCTTACAAATATTTCAACGCCTCTAAACTTATTTGGACAATGGTCTGATCTGGATCATGGTCTTCTTCCAGTTACACTTCTAGGTACAGCTGAAATGTCTACAGCTTACAAACGCTCAGGTAAAAAACCAGTGGCCAGTAGTGAGCAGTGACGTAAGGAACGTCACAAGGTAGGGGCTGCTTGCCTCGTTCTCAAAATTTATGGTATATATATATAGTGAAAAAGGAGTGGTGTTAACTTGAAGAAAAATGAGAAAATTGATTTTGAATTTTGCATTTGCGTTTCTTACAGGTAACTTTCGCTCCCCGTGGTAGGCTTTCAATGCTCCGGTCACTGAATGTAATTGATCCCGAGTATGAACGACACATTGTAGCACTGATTTTTGTGAAAAAAGTGGCGTTGACTTGAAGAATAATAATGAGAAAATTAATTTTGAATTATTCATGTCCATTTGGCATAGGTAACTTTCGCTCCTCCTGGTAGGCCTACTATGCTTCGGCCGCGGAACGTGATTGTTCCGTAATATTAACGACTCATTGTAACACTGATTTGTATGAAAAAAAAGATTTGACGAAAACTTGAAAAAATAAATTTTGATTTTACATATGCGTTTCTTACAGGTAACTTTCGATACCCCTGGTAGGCTTACAATGCTCCGGCGACTGAATGTAATTGATTCCGAGTATGAACGACACATTGTAGCACTGATTTTTGTGAAAAAAGCGGTGTTGAAGAAAAATTAGAAAATTTTGAATTTTGCACCTGGTAGGCTTAGTAAATTCTGACCACCGAATGTAACTGATCCGGAGTATGAACGACACATTGTCTTTACTTTCGTAAAAATAGTGGTGATCATTTGAACAAAAATTGAGAAAATTAATTTAGAATTTAGCATGTGCGTTTGGTACAGGTAACTTTCGCTTCCCCTGGTTGACTTACTATGCTCCGGCCACGGAACGTTATTGAGCCGGAATATCAACGACACACATTGTAACCCTGACTTTTATGAAAAAAAAAGTGGTGTTGATTCGAATAAAAACTGGGAAAATTGATTTTGAATTTTGCATGTGCGTTTCGTACATGTAACTTTCACTCTCCCAAGTAGGCTTACTATGCCCCGGCCACGGAATAAAATTGATCCAAGATATAAAGGACACATTGTAGCACTGACTTTCGTGAAAAAAGTTGTGTTGATTTTCAGAAAAATTGAAAAAATCTATTTTGAATTTTGCATATGCGTTCCTTACACGTAATTTTCGCTCCCCCTGGTAGACTTACAATACTCCAGGTACCAAATTTGATTAATCCGGAGTGTGAACGACACATTGTCTTTACTTTCGTAAAAAAAGGTGGTGATGATTTGAAGAAAAAATGAGAAAATTAATTTTGAATCTTGCATGTACAAAGATGAGCCATCCAACTTGCACATACCTCTTGCATCTTCTCGCCTCCAAAAATACCGAATTGCAACGTTGTATTAGCACGGAAGACGGTCTAAAAAGCATGATTGATACTGGAAGGTAATGTCCGAGCAATAAATTATAGATAAAAGGTACCGCATCCTATAGAGGCGCGTGGCTTGGTTGTCTCCAGTGGCGGTGGGCTATTGCTGTTGATCAGGAGTAGGCTTAATTAAATTCCTAACATGGTGTGATTTTCAAAGCAGATGACGTCTTTATTTGTAATATATCTCCAGGCTTTTGAAAAGCAAAATATTTCTTTCAAATTTCAATATGAAGCATGTTGTTGCTTAATTCCGATATGATAGGTTGGATGTTTGGTATTGAATAGACAAGCCGTAAGTGCTAGGCTACCGAACATAGTTACGTTTGGAAACTGAACATTCTCATCTAAAACATAAATATAAAAAACGTTTAGTTTACGAAATTAGCGCTGGCTATTTATCCTTCTTGCAACTAATTTCATTAGCTCTGAAAAGTATTTCAGCAGTATTTACTTTAACCACTTTCTGTGTCTATACAAAACTGCATTCTGGTCTACATGCTTCTTACTTTGCAGACATACTGGTAGGTTCAGCCACTTTAGACAGAAAGCAAATATATAGAATTTTTGCTTTTCTGGAAATCCTCCCAATGCTAATACAAACAATTATGATTAGTTATGATTTGTTAATTTCATTCATCTGTGACTTCCTAGTTTAGTCCGATGAAGGAAATTTGAAATGTGCCCATAAAAATGATTTGTAGGAGCCACTGTTGTGTTTGATTTCGAGATAGTAATTGTTTCCTGTAGATTGAGATATTGCTCAACCAGTGGTGTTATCCAGGAAAAGATCTGGGGGGAGGCTCAAGATCCAGGGTGACACGAAGATTCCGTCTCGGGGGGGGAGGGGTATCTTGGAGATATAAAATTACATAGCAGAGTGGGGGGGACTCGCTTAGTCCAGGTAGCTACACTTCACAGAAGGAATAACATGCTGTAATATGTAGAAGAAGCGTAATGAGCTGTTGCGCTTCGGGAGGGTAGACTTTGAGGAGCCCCAAAGCCCTCCCATGAATACGCCCACACCAGAATAGGAACAGAGGCGAGGGGTCTGTGGGCCTAGCTCAAAGAGTTCCGCGCTTCTTTCTAATATCATTGGGATTGCACCCAGCCAGCGGCGGCGATGAAGTAAATAAGAAATGAATAAGTAGTCCTTCTTGATTCAATTTACAAATTAATGCATTAATCAAAGAAACTATCCTGTTTTTAGTCATAAAATATTACCAGACATTTGAGAAACAAAAAATAGTATTTTAAATTTCAATAAGTATTAAGAGTAATCCATGTAATTTTTTCTTATGAATGTGGAAGTGGAACAACCAGCGGGTACGCTTATGCAGTCGGCGGCGCGGCACCTCAAAGACAAAGCTGTATTTTGTGTTTTTGGCTCACAAAGAAATTGACAGTAGCTAGAAAGGAGAGCAATAGCCTTGTAGAAGAAAGAAAATGTCTCGACAACAAACAACCCCGCGTGAGAGACGAATGATCATCAAATGTTATGAGATGGGTATATCCAGCGCGGAGATAGCAGATCAGTTTAATATGTCGGTAAATTATACAGTCTTTTTGATCATAGTGTACTTTCCTGAATGTTACTTTTTCTATTAGCTAAGACAAGTCCAAAACTGGATTAGGTGGAATAGGGAAGGTGGCAGTTTGGAAACCGATAGGTCAAATGTCCTATCAAATGAAGACCTGAGCAGGCTGATTGCGTTCAACAACGAAAATAGGTTTTGTAGTGCGCTCGCAATGCGAGATAGACTGGGGCTACAGTGTTATATTAAAATACAAAACTATTTGGAATTACCGAATGCGCTGCATCAAAATTCAAAATACAAAATAGCAGCTCTTGCTTTTGAATATTTTTTTACGACAAAGTTATGTCACTGTAGTAGGCTTTTAAGTAACAGTATAAAATTGCTAACATCTAAATATTGATCAAAATAGATGGTTTTGTTGATATCGGATAATTTCTTGGAAAAGCTAATTTTTTATAAAAGGTTACTGGTATTATACCATATCCCTCCTAGGACTTGGTAGGGGACAGAAAAGGCAGTAAGATTCCATGATTACCTGACCAGACGAAACCACATATATTATGTTTTAAATTACTTGTTCTAATCTATTTTAAGAAATATCCCAAAAAGCCACCGTGGTGTCCGAAACGTCAGTGAAAAAGTAATTCAAACATATGTGGTTTCGTTTGCCCAGACCCAAACCACAAAATGAGTTTTAAGTATTACAGTAAAATACAATAAATAGACTCTATATTTGCGCGAAAATCCCCAGTTTTGGAGATCTTCTTTTGTGGTTTCCTTAGCATCACCCGAAACTGTAAACACATATATGAAAAATTCTTGAGGTTTCGTTCTCAGTTTCCCTCATTGAATTATTACTTGTTTGTATTTTAAAGGATATTATTTTTATTTTAATTGCATGGAATTGACTGTTTTATTTTATTATATATTATATATACTCCATAATCATTTGAATTTTTATTGAACCACTCACTGCCTTATTATAACAATGAGCTGATGGATTATAATTTATTGTTTGCGCAACATACGTTTTTGGCTTGAACGCCAAATATTTGACCTACCATAGAAAAGTAAATTCATCTGACAATCTCTGTTTGGGGACCAGTTATTAAACAGACCTTCGGTAATGAGTAATCAGGGGAGCAGAAACACTTCGTTCTGCGACCTGTCTTTATGTAGAGCGTCCCACTTTTTTCCTGTATAATTTATTGCCGGCTTATTTCTTTCATCTCGTTTACCGCCGTCTGAGCAAAAGCTTAACATACACGGTAATGTTTTCCGAAAGGACATGCGATAAACAGGTTACAATAAAAATAAGGGTTTTGAGAATAGCAACTAGAATTCTTAGAGAAATTTTACATGGAGTACCCTTCAAAACACTTTAAGGAGTGTGTATATTTCATATTTTCAAGTGTTGTGTTCTGAAGATTTAAAAATAGGAAAATTGATATATCATTACATAAATTAAAAATCGCCGCAAATCCTTCCACTCAAATCTGCCGTTGGTAATAAAGGAATCATCAACTTGAGAATTTTATAGACCAATTGCGTATGAGTGAAAGACGAAAGGTAAGAAATCAAAGACACTGGCTGTAATGAAGCTTCTCAAACGCTGGGAGATTTTAGGTACGGATTCGCGTCGTGTATCGGCGGAGTGTGGGTAGAGACTGTTGATTATGATTTGTTCACCAAAATATTCATACAGATCATATTCTGGCGGAATCATGCATACTATTAGCGTGTATGTCCAGCTTTACATCCACCCTTCAACTGGATAGATACACCCACACACATGTGGGTATACAATAGGTTTTTTTTGTTTATGATTTACTGCCTGGAGTCGACCAAGATATCCAAATAAAGGGAAGAAAGGTTACAGGCGGATGGTTCACCTGAATGGGTTCCCTACTTTTAATTTTATTGATTTCAACAGACTACTGCGTAGTTTGGCATGTTATAGAGTAATTGAGTTTATACAGAGTAATACATATTATTATTTTTTCTGTCTAGACGATATAAAAAATAGAGTGCTATAGCGTTCCACCCATTGGCGATAACCTACATGTCGTTCTGGTTTCCTTGGCATTGTGCAATATCAGTAACTACTATACTGATTCTAACAGAGGTTGGAATGGATTATTGTTCGGTCACAAGTTTGAAAATGAGAGTAAGAGCGCTAAACTTAGTAACCAGAAAATAAAGCAGATTTTCTAAACTGTGTGCTTACATCCTAAAAGCTTTTTCAGTGTAGATGAAAACAATCACTTTGTTTTTTGAATGTTCGTATTTATTTTTCAGCGAACATGAATAATGTAGACTGAAGAGTATAAAATTAAATAAGGAAATGGAACATCACATCTATTTTCTCGCAATATACTTGAACGATCTACTTTGGAAATGTTTGGCAATAATCATTGACGTACTACCCAGTCATGAATCACAAAAGTCTAGTTGTTCGATAAAAAGAGTTCCAGCACGATGTAAGTTAAAACTAACAACTTTTTAGGAGAGCGTAAAAGAACGGTGGGCCTTTGGAGTCGCTATCGAATGATCTTATAATCCTCCATGTTTGTCTAGTCGCAAATGAAACCTCATAAGCTAATAGTGCCTACTGATGACATTCCGGCAATCATGGTGGCTTTTTTAAGTAAATACGTAAGTTATTCTTTGCGTTTAGAGTAGTTACAACTTAAGCGACGATG